TGGTGAATCCACAGAGCTTCAGGGAAGGAAATTATTGAGTCCAAATTACAGGAACAAAGATTTGAAGGTGGTAACTTAAAGAAGAATCTTTAATGATGAGTCGAAAGAGCATTGACAGCCAGAGATGAAAAGTGGACTCCAGGCAGAAAGAACACAGTGAGCAAACACAGAAAACATGATGAAACGCACTGTGGCTCTTTTCTGACCTCTTGTGCACAGACATATTTTACCAGTATTACATTACATGGTGATTGGATAATTGCTGTTTCCCATAAGCGTGTAAGCAGGAACTGTCTTGTTCACTTTTGTACTCCAGCACGTGCTACAGTAACTGGCCCCGTACCACAAAGGTTTATATCTAACAGGTTACCATTGGAATTACAATGCATCAGGAAATGCTGGATGCCATTTTCAATTATTAGTTTATATAACTTATTTAATCAAGCTATACTATAATTAATGGTAATTATGTGCCTTGAATCCTTTTGACATTGTGATTGACTTATCAAGTGATGAAAGGACATATATCTTTTTATTGCCAGACAACTGCTTTTAGACTGGAATTTACAAGAGTGCCTTGGGTCTGTATAATTCAAAATCTTCTTATATCTCTGGGCATGGTAGAGTTGGAAAGATTTATTTCTTGGCTTGAGAAATCCTAGGAAGTTCATAGATCACATAAATTACTATAGAATTCCACAAAGATTCCTCTAAAGCAGAAACTCTTTATTTAAAGAATTATTTGTTTAATTTTATTTATTATTATTTTATTTTTCCATTTGCTACCGGGCACATGCACTCACCAGAGAGAGAGAGACAAAGAGAGAGAGATAGAGCGAAAGTGAGAAAGCAAGTCACCAGATCCAGGACTTGAATACAGTCAGCCACATAGGAGTCCGGTGCCTTAACCACTACAACACCTGCTGGCCCTAAACTAGAGAGTCTTAACCTGAGCCTTCACAGTTGGGCTCTAAGGAGATCCATGAACCCCCTTAAGTTGATAAGCATATGTGCATTTTTCCAAGGACATGGAGCATAGATTCAATCAGGTTCTCACTAAAACCTAAAGAAACTTCAAATTAAAACCTATAATAAAAATCAGGACCAGCAGTTGGCGTAATGGCTATGTCACTAGACTCCCTTGTGGTTCAAGTCCTGGAACCGGTGGCTTAAACTCATACTGTGTGTGTGTGTGTGTGTGTGTGTGTGTGTGTGTGTGTGCGCACGAGCATCAGAGAAAAATAGAGGGGAATGTGCCCAAGATCCTGAGAGGAAAATGGAGGAGAAGGGATTGTGGTTTGGCTATCCTCCCTGGGGAGTGATTTCTCGCTTTCTATCTCTCTGTTTCTCTCTGTCTTGCTGGCAAGAGTATGCACCCTATAGCCAAAAAAACTCTAAAAAAGAAAGAAAGAAAGAAAGAAAGAAAGAAAGAAAGAAAGAAAGAAAGAAAGAAAGAAAGAAAGAAAGAAAGAAAGAGAGAAAGAAAGAGAAAGAGAAAGAAAACCTATAATAAAAATCAAGGAATGCCTATACCAACAGGGCTAAAAGATACCACCTAGTCCATAAAACACTTAAAGCCATTCCCATATTCTAAACCGTGTCAAAAACATAAATTATCTCATTGTTTTGGCTGATGATTATTGTTTTGTAATGATCTGGGAATTTTTTTCCTTTTATAGTATGTATTTCTTGATGTCCAACTCCATAATTACATGACTACCAAGTTACCTGATTTCAGACTTAAAATTTGTCTAAGAAATTACTCAGACTTCTTAATTTTGCTTGTTTATTTTGGTCTAACCCCACTGACTGCTCAGTTTCCTAGTTAAGGCATGTCCCACTCCAATTTGGGGCTGAAGGCATGTCTGCAACAAGCTATCAATGCACTGTGAGGTCCCTGAATCACCTGACATCCAGACACTTACAATGATTCAATTAGTCTAGGTTATGGTTGTAGTTATTCACTACAACCATAACCTAGACTAGCAACAGAACACAAGTCTCCTCATCTAAACCCAAGAAAAACACTATCAAATCCAACTCTGCCTCTACTAAAAAGAATAATAAAATGTTAAAAAAAAAAAGCCCCTGAATCCTGCACATTCACTGAAAACAATGCCTAGGGGAAGTATACTCCCCAGTGTCATGGACTCCCTCTCCTATAAGAGACCTGCTAGAATATTTTATGTTTCCCCCACCAAAATGTGAGGGCAGAAATTTTTGTCTTTTCCAGTCAGTGTTTTATCCCCAGGGACTGAAACAATGGTTGCAAACACAGTGCTAGTGTATGTTAAATGAAGGACTGAAAAAGAACTGACTTAATGCAAGAAGGAAGGAATTTGCCTATGAATACCCATGAAACATAAAGTTCCTTCCCTTCCACATTTTCAGTTTTAATATCCATTGTTTCTCTCATAATCTCCTCTTTACCATGCTATTCTCTGCGTTATCAATCATTACTCTCCAAACTCACCAAAGTCCCATCTCTGAAGTCCTTCTTCAGCTCAATCTTGCTCTGATTCCCACAGTACACCTCTCTGCCATTTATTCATCAGCATGCAGTAACCATCTAATGCTTTGCAATATTATAAACACAAGGCTCTAAAGGAATGTGAGACAAGGCCCAGGAACTCTCCATCTAGTTTAAGAGAAATAAACAGTAGAGAAATGAGGGAGCCATATAAAATAATACCAAAGCAAGTGCCTAAATGAGTAATAGAGACAAAAATAAAAGTGTTGTTTAGATAACTGGAATTAAGTATCTCTTCAACCCTATCTTCTGCTAGCCTCACTTCATTTCTTTCCAGTGTTAGAAAACAATAATGTCACTCCTTCACACCTAGACCCTTGATCTGCCCAGATGGCCCCCTTGAATTTTTAAGGAACTTTTTTTTTTTTTTTGAGGGAGAGATTTTTACTATAGGCCATGTACAATCACAAAAAAGACAAAGACAAGAGAGACAGAAAGCAAGAAACTACTCACCAGGGGGATGGCCATGACACAATATTTTCTCTTCCATTCTCCTCTTGGGGTTTTGGGAAGTATTCATACACACCTGGAGTGAGTTTCAAGCTACCAAGTCCAGGACCGAACCACAGTCAACTACATGGGAGTCCAGGAGTGCCTTAGGCACTAAGCAACCTTCAGGCCCCAAGGAACTTTTTATTTTCCAAACCCAACTCTAAGTTACCTCCTCTACTAAATCTTTTCTATTTTTTTAAAGGTTTTTTCCATAGGGCACATGACTTGTCAAAGAAACAGAGAGAGACAGTGAGAAGGAACATGAGAAATCACCCCCCAGGGGGTTGGCCATGATGAAATTCCCTTTTCCTCCATTCTCCTCTTGGGATCTTGGACATGCACATACAGGTGCCTGGCATGATTTTCAAGCCGTGGGGTCCAGGACTCAAACCACAGTCAGCCATGTGGGAGTCCAACACCTTAACCACCTTGCCACCTAACGGCCCTAAATCTTCTCTTTTAAGCCTCCTCTACTCCACCCTCTGCCTCCCCCAAAAAAATTAACCACATTCTCCTTTACACCTGGGAACACTCCTATTGTTACACTTACCATGCATGTTATTCTTGTTAACCTCTGTTTCCCTTCCTAAATAGTGTTCCCATTTCTAGCAGAATATCTGACAGTAACAAAGTTGATTAGTAAATTAATTCAATAGTTGGAGAACAGTTTGAAGAACAACCTCGTGGTCTCAGCCAACTTTTCATTAACGGACGCTTTGTATTGTGAAGAAAAAAGGTTGATCTCAGATGGCCTTTCATGTGAAATACTGGCATGACACAGATGGATTCTTCATTGATTTTTGTCTCAGAAACTGTCAAACAGACCACACCTCCCTTGTGGCATATCTCAAAAACTCCAGATAAAACTCAAGGCCCCAGAAATCTCTGGGTAACATTTAGTTGTTTTTTGTGAAGGAAACCTCAGTTGATCCCTTGTGCTTGAGGTATCTTTTTCTCTGTTTACAATATAGCAAACCATTCAACATTTCTGAAAGGCAATTCAGCCGTATTTACTGAAATTTAAGATGTATACACCCTTTAACACGGTATAGTATTTCTAGGAATAACACAGAAATACTTACACATGTACAAAAAAAAAGTTTTATGAAGATGTTCATTATAACACTTTTATAATTCTAAATATACTGGAAATAGTCTAAATGTCCATCAAAAGGAAAATGTAACATAATGTAACCATTAAATAAATAAATAACACTACACATGTTGACATATAAAGTTGTTCATTACTTATTAAGAGAACAAAGTAAGTTACAGAGTAATAGGAGCAGTATTTAAAATGTTTATGAGAAGTGCATAAATGAAAAAAATAGATTTCAGTTCTTTTCTGAACCAAAATAAAACCATACTTTAATTCCATTTCCCATAAACTTTTTGAAGACCCCCTATACACATAATAAACTTCATTTTTTTAACCATACATAGAGCCCTGTATTTTGGTGTTTGATAAGTTTACACATGATGAAACAGGATGGGAAATTGTTTGGGAAGGAAATGGAGGTGAAGAAGGATTTGAATTTTTTTGTCTGCACTTTTGTTAATTATACAAGGCATGTCTCCCTCAAATACCCTCTATTCAAATGGTAGACACTGAGTAACATAATGTCTGCAGCTAATAACCCACCTAATGAAGTGTTGGGAAATGAAAGAAACCAAATTATTTCACTGACAGCTAAATCCTGATTGGTCTCTTAGTTGCCAATCTCTTAGACATGAGTTTAAATTTCATCTACAAACTCACAAAGCATTGAGGGTAAAATTTTCACCAGGGTGAATTGGCGAAATCAACTTGACTTTGAATATTGTGCCTGTACATTCTGCCTGAGGAACACAAAGGTAACATTAATTGACCATGTTTCAAGTAGAACATTCATTTTTTGGTATTATCTTCTCTCAAAAGGAAAAAAAATTAGAGTGAAAAAGTAACATGTTTTTGTTGTTATAGGTAGCAATTTGAAACATGAAGACTATGATTCTACTGTTTTGTCTTCTAGGATCAACTCAGTCATTACCAGTAAGTGTGATATGTTTATTTTGTGTGCCAACCAGCCTTAACAGCATCTTTAATTGCAGACCTCTCCCTCTTTCTGCCCTTACTCAAAACTGCTCTGTTCTATGATGCATGACCTTAGTTTTCTGTTTTCATTCTCTAAGGCAAAAGATGATAAGTTAATCAGGTATTGTGCATATTTCAATGCATTTGAACTTTAAGAATTCTATTGCCACTGTGTGGTAATAGAATTTCAATTATTTCAGAAGAGTAATAAAGCAGACATTAGAGGACCAAGGAATTCCTTGGACTATATCTACTCAAAGTGGATGATTCCTTTAGCGTTCAAAAGGAATTTAAGATTTTCTTGGCAACTAATCATTTGCCCATGACAAAAGAGGTAAGGTACATTTCCTGATTTTCCCAATTGGAAATACAAAATATCTAGATTGTATGAACTTTATAAAGGCTATCAAATCATGTGATACCAAAGGCATTATTGACAGTGGCCAACATTTGTTAGTTAAAACATTCCATCAAAAATGTGCTAACATATGACAGGCTTTTGAAAGAAAGGAGCACTAGTACTCCAATACTTACTCTAATTGTCCTCCATTATTTCATAGAGATGACTAGTTTAAACCTCTAAGTGGACTTCCCTTTGACTGTTCAAGATGCTTGTGTATGGCCATTAAGATAAAAATTGTGAGATATTTGTATGAAATACCAGGAAAAGAAACCCTTCTTAGTTAATCCCCAAGCTCTCTTAATGCTTCTATAGTCATCCATACAGTCAATAAATATTTATTGAAAGGGCCAGCCAGGTAGTGTGGTCATTAAGGTGGCTAAATCTTAGAAGGCCGACTGCACAGTTTGAGTTCCAGACTGCATGACTTTAAAAATATGCAGGGGAGGATTGCTTAATGGTTTTATTACTTGTCTCCCATACAGATGACTGCTATTAGAGTCCTGGACCTAGTGGCTTAAAACTCATGTCGGGTTATGTGCATGCATGCACAGAATCCTAAAAGAATGGAGCAGAAGGGACTGTGCCATGGCCATTCCCCTTAGAGAGTGATTTCTCACTTTCTGTTTCTCTTTCTCTCTCTGTCTCTCTAGTGAGTGCACGCACCCTATAGCAAAAAGTCTCTCAAATAAAATAATAATAAATTTTTCAAAAATTAATTAATTAATTAATTTTTTAAAGCATTCAGGATGTTGGGGCCAGCAGATGGCATAATGGGTACATTGCTGGATTCCCACATAGTTGACTGCAGTTCCAGTCTCAGACTTGGTGGCTTAAAATTCATGCAGGGCACATGTAGGTGAGTGCCCAAAATTTCAAGATGAGAATGGAGGAGAAGGGATTGCAGTATGACAATCCCTCTTGGAAAGTGATTTCTCACTTTCTGTCTCTCTGTCTCTCTCTGTCTCTCTGGTGAGTGCCCACACCCTATAGCAAAAATCTCTCAAATAAAATAATAATAAATTTTTTAATTAATTAATTATTTTTTTAAAAAAAAGCATTCAGGGTGTTGGATCCAGCAGATGGCATTCCAGACAAAAAGAATAGCTAGCAGTGAAAGCCTGAGGCAGGAGAGAGCTTTATCTGTCCCACAAATAGCAAAGAGCCTTGATGTCCAGAGCAGGGTGAGCTAGAAGAAACGTGTCAGGATGGAAGGCTTGAGAGTTCCTTTTCAGCTGTACATAATCGTACAGCTGAAAAGGAACTCCAACCACAGGCAATCCCAAACTCTCCTCTTACAACTAAGGGGGAAAATCTAAAATGAAACCAAGGTGACCCAGCTCTCTTCACCTTCTGGGACACATCCGGGTTCAAAGTCTGACTGGGATCCATCTGACAAAGGGAAGGCTCTTTCTTCAGGGACTAAGAACATGTGTGAAGATCCCAGTCCTGGCTCTGCCATTCACTGTACAGGTTACTTGGCTTCTGTGGGCCTTAGTTTCCTCATCTATAAAACAAAACCATACAAGTAGGCCATATGGGTAGGAAGGATATTTTTACCCCAAAACCTCAGTGATTCTTAATGTGCTAGGAAAATATTCTGACCTGGAAGAAAACTAAACTTCTATTACAAGAGTGATATGGCAGGCACCAAAGAAAAGCAGGAAGCTTTGTGAAGGTGCAGTAAAAATTATGGGAGTTTATCATTAAGTACTGGGAAAAGCCAAGTGTGCACAGAGCTATGGTGCATAGTGTGCATTCTTGTCCTGGCAAAGGAGAAAGGCAGTTACAAAAAAGGATCTGGAGTTACAGCCAGGAAGCAACACCAGAAATCCCACGTGCCTTTGGCCCACACTGTTCCCCTCCTACCCTCACAACCCCACCCCCTCTGATCTAGTATTTTCTCACTCTACAATTCTATCTCCTGCCTTACATGAAATGTCCTTAGGAATTAAAATTGTGCAAAATACCTGTCCTGGAAACAACAAAGAATATAGACATGAGTGAAGAAATGAAGTGGTACAGAGGATCTGAGAGGCACTGGAGGCCCAGAATGGAGAGCCTTGGAGGCCATCATAGGTCTCTGGCTTATTCTCTGAGTTAAATTGGGACCAGCAAGTGGTATGGTGGTTGGGAGTGCTGGACTCCCACATGGCCAACTGAGGTTCAAGTCCCAGACCTAGTGGCTTGCTTAAACTCTCTCTCTCTCTCTCTCTCCTTCTCTAGTCAAATTAAATAAATGTGTAAATAAAGTTAAATAAAATGATTCTTAAAAAAAAAAAAAAAAAGAAAGAAATTGGTAGTCAGGGCTGCAATTGAACCCAGTCCTTCCTCATTTGGAATAACTGGTTACCTTCTGATGTAAATGAATACAAAACCTCAAACACACTGCTGCCTCATCAAATACTTGTTTTCACAGAAGCAGCACAACCCTGCTTCGGGACTTCCTCCAACAAAGCTGGCTCCAGACCAGGCAATACTGTTAAACCAACAGCAGCCAAAACAGGTAAGAGTCCCACAGTAAGGAACACTTACATCCCAGCAAAGAAAACTGGCAAAGGCTGGTGGAATGAAAAATCAAGATTTACAGTTCCTCATGACTAAACAAGAGAGGCTTCTTTTTTTTGTGTGTGTGTGGGGAGGGGCTGTGGTGTGGGGAGATGGGGGGGGAGAACACTTTTATAAAAATTCTGAATAAGGAAAAGCAAAGCACCTTAATTCTTTTTCTTTTTGTCTGAATAATAATTTGATTTCGCAACTAAATCTTATAAATTTTGAAAAGCAATGGCTGTACCCATTTACAAAGCTTGGTCATGTTTCCCTCAAGACACTGTGATATATCATATCTGGGGTTTGCCCAAGACGATAGGAATAAGGAGGTGGTCTATAAAAATAACTGCAGATCTCCTCATAGTTAAATGTCATTGTTGCTGATAAGCTGATGTGTTGCTATAAAATCTGTTTCTTCAAAGCATATTTAAATACTTTTAAAAGCTGTATTATCTCTTGGCTACTACACTTTCCAACTCTTCCTCTATAAAGGACCCTGCCTTACCTAAACTACACTTTGTGAAATGGTACAATCAGATAATACTAAAGTCCACCATTCTCTCTTTAAACAACAAATATTTTAGAACACTCAGATAAAGAGCCAGTCTCCCTCCTTTAAGGAATCTGAAGCTAACAATATAGGAATCTCCTTTAAGAATAAGAACATAGGGGCCAACAGGTGGCATGGTGATTAAGGTGCTAGATTCCCACATGGTCAACTGTGGTTCATGTCCTGGACCTGGCGGCTTGCTCTCTCGCTTTCTCTCTCTCTCTGTCTCTCTCTGGTCGAACTAACAAGTAATAATAAATAAATAAATATAATTTTTCTTAAAATAGAATAAGAATATAGGGGCCAGTAGGTAGCATAGTGGATAAGGTGCTGGACTCCCACATGGCAAACCATGGATTAAATCCCAGACCCAGAGCCTTGAAACTGACTGGGTGCATGTAAATGTATTCCCAAAATCCCAAGAAAAGAATGAAGGAGAAGGGAATTGCAGAGTGACCATAACCCCCAGGGGGGATGATTTCTCACTTTCTCTCTCTCTGTCTCTCTCTGTGTCTCTGGCAAACACACCTGACCTGTATTAAAAATATCTAAAATAATAATAATAATAATATATATATAATTACATATGTAAAATTAAATACTGAAATGAATATTTATGATATATAAGAAATAAGAGTAAAAAGTTTTCACAAAAGTTTCTAAGTTGGTAAATACAATAAACTTGACACATTGCTAGGGTTGCTTCCCAAGACCACAGAAGGGGTGACATTAGTGAGAGTCCTCCAGCTTCACCTTCATTCCCCTTCACAGTAAGCCAACTTCTGAGAGGAGTGTAGGTTACTTGAGGATACCCACCATTTACAGACTAGTGGGAATAGACAATCTCTTGTCTCATGCATCAACTTTAATATCCCACAGGTCTTTCCTTCCTTACATCTAATACCATTAACACAGTTGCTCACACTGGGGTCAGACCTGCAACTGGTAAGTACTCCTTTATATCATTTTAATACACATTATTAAATAAATATAATGCTTAATGTTGAGTGTATGTGTGTGTGCATGTGAGTGTGAGAGTGAGCATCCAGAAATGTACATGTGTGTGTGTGTATAGATAAATATTCATTATAGGTAAGTTGAAAGAAATAGAGAAGTCAAAGATGGATGCTCTTCGATACATCATAAAAAGTTTTTGTTAGTAAGAAAGTTTCTAAAGGAAATTATTTCATTCTCATCTTTCTTAATAAGAAAGTCTCTAAAGGAAATTATTTAATTCTCTAAGTCTTTATTTTTCCAGTTCTCAACTTTTCTCCAAGCTCTTCTATTCCTCCACCATACTTTCCTCATTGCCCACCACATCTGTACATCCATATAAACACCATGACTACTACCAACAAGATCAAGCTAAATAGGGCTTGCCCCAATGGGCTTGTGGTTAAGGGAGTTGGATCTCACATGGCTAACCATGTGGTTTGAATCCTGGACCTGGTGACTTGAAAAATAAGCTGTGTGAGTATACATGCCCGAAATCCCAATAGGATGAAGAAATGGGGAAGCAATTGCAGCATGACCACATCACATTAGGTGGTGCTTTTCACTTCTTCTTCTCTTTCTCTGTCTCTGTCTCTCTCTGGCAAGCACACATGTTCTTTGACAATTAAAAAAAGTATTTAAAAAACAACTAAAAGGAGTAGAAAGATCTTCAGTCTTCTCATAAAATAATCTGTAGAATTTAGTTTAGTTAGGGAAGAATAATAAGTTCCTTTCATGATTAAAGTGAATTTTTCCCCCTAAGTGGTTAGATTTAAATATGATACTAGCCATATTCCAAACTAAATATTTTAATCTGACCCTCATGACTGTCATAGGGATACCTATGAAGGAATTCATTTCTTCATTAAGCTATCAGAAAAAAATTGAGGAATCATTGCCATTGTAGCCAAAAGAGGAAAGCAAGGACAAAACCACCCAAGCAATTATCAAAGAAAATCAGTTAGATGCCAATGAAAAATTTGACATGGGGAAAGTTGGCCCTGGACTTTATGGTTGTACCAGTAGACTAAGTAGGTCTGAATTTCTTCTCAATATCTAATTTCACATGCAATAGAATACCATGTACTGATAGCAAATTCTTACTTTTTACATATTCTACACTTAGTAAGTATGTTGTAATTTCCTGAATGTTCAAACTTAAAAAAAAAAAAAAAAAGTAAAATTCTTCTTTATTTCCTCGCAGCTAAATCCTGTTGCAGGGATGACACCAGGTGCCCAGACCCTTCCTCTGGCCCTGGGGAGGTTGAATGTACAACACCAGCTGCAACCACAAGTAAGTTCAATAACAGGACATAACAGGACTTCAGCTTAGTATTAAAGAGCATTTCTCTATAGTGTAAGCCAAAAGGGAAGAAAAAAATTTTTCAAGCTTCTTTAAAATCTTACCCACATAATTTGCAGACAAATGTTCTACTGAATACAGAACAATATTTGGCAATTTGGTTTTTTGCCAAAAACACAACCAGAAAACTGAACATGCTATATATACTATAATCTCACTAGAATACATTTATAAGGAGTAACAGGAAACTCCCCAACAGTCAATAATAGAAATCAGTCCCCATTCTCAGTGTGGACTTTTTGATGTTTCTAGGCAGTGCCACCACCAAAGGTCCCCATACCTGACCTCTGGACAGCTCTAGGAAAAGGCTATGATGGGGACCCCTCTCCCTCAAACTCCGCCAGCCCTGATACTGAATAGCTTACTTTATCTGCCTGTTAGTGACTCCCACTTATCAAAGACAGGCCAATCTGTAGTTGAGTGAACTCTAGGACCACACAACTTCTAGCCAAACCTCGGTTCTCTACTTACTACCTGTATGGTGTTGCCCAGTTACTTAACCATTCTGACTCACTTTCCTTGAACTTTAAAATGAGCATTAAAATAGGGACCAGCAATTGGCAAAATGGCTATGTCACTGAACTCCCATGTAGTCGATCACAGTTTGAGTCCCTGACCTGGTGGTTTAAACTCACAGCAGGTGCATGTGCATGCATGCCCAAGATCCTGAGGAGAGAATGGAGGAGAAGGGATTGCGGTGTGGTCACCGACCCCCCCCGGGGGGTGATTTCTCACTTTCTGTCTCTCTGTGTCTGTCTTTCTGGTGAGTACATGCACCCTACAGCAAAAACCTCTCAAAAAAAAAAAAAGAGCATGCAGTAAGTATTAGCTATTATTATTTCAAATAGTTGTTCTACTAAATAACTAAGAAAAATAGTGTTTCTCTTTATTGTTACATTCACTCTGATTACAGGTTTTTACTTAGACATCTGTGGGTTCCTTTTTTTGTCTTTTTTGTTCCTTCTACTCCAACTTCCCTTTAGGGATACTTCAGTTCTGTTTTCTCTCAAGCCTAAGTGCTGCTTCTCCTTCAGCCTAAGTACTAAAGCTTAGCTGGGTTTTGTTATTGTCATTGTTGCCTTTTCCATCATAGATAAGAACCTTAATTAAATAAGGCATTTTCATAAGAGTACGTACTTTTTACTGTTGGCATTATATAACTCATATTATATTATATTATAGTATAGTATAGTATAGTATATATTATATAGTATAGTATAGTATAGTATATAGTATAGTATACTGACAAACTCTAAACTCATTCTTACGCTAGAGCATGCCAACCCCATAGCAAATCTTTTTTAACTATAAATTCATAAATGTAGTTAGTTATAAATGACCAATGAAGTGATTCTTATCTGTTCTAAGCGCTCTGCTGAGGCCAGGAGTCACCAGGCAACGGCACCCGCAATTCCTCACCAGCTCTCCATTTTAACAACCAAGTGTCCAGACAGCTATTACAAGACTAAAATCTACATGCTTCCCAAAAAATTCCACATTTCAAAATATCTATTACAAATTATAATGTGCCGTCTCAGATCCCATATGAAAGAAATCTGTGCATTTTTGTCATCTTACTACCATGAATAATCTTCAGTATGTAGATCACTTGAGACTAAAATTATTTTTGTTCATCTAACTTACTAACTTCTACCAAATTCTTGCCTTGAACTGCTTTCTAAATCTCTCTGGATCCAATCTTTTTACAAGTTGGAATTTATCCTTTACTAAATTTTTCTCTTTTCAGATGTTACCAATTATTGTAGCACAACTTGGAGCCCAGGTAAGATTTTTTTTATATCATTTTTATTGTTAAATCACTTTGATATGAAATATTTAGTCTTGTGTCAACTCACCAGATAGCTATGAAGATGCCAATTTGCTTTACACTGTGAAGACACTGATTATCACACAAGTGCTAACCCCAGCTGAGCAGCTATTTTGTGTCAGACACTGTTCTAAGTACTTTACATGTATTACCTTATTTAATCTTCAAACTGACCTTTTGTGAACAGTACCTTTTATTTTCAATTTAAAAATAAATAACTGGAGATACTTATAGCTACTTGCTTATAATTATGCCATTGGTAATCACACATAGATCAAGCAAACCTCTAAACCAAACTTAAGAAATTAAGTTAATAGAATTAACCTAAGAATTAATGACTTAGAGATTTATTTTTATCTCAAATTTATTTTTAACTATATGTATTTAACTAAAAATGCTATAAGCCATTTCTCTCTTATCTCCTTGTTTACCTTTGAGAAAGTAATTTTGAGATCATTGATGAAATGGCCAAGGGCTGAGATCAAATATCAGTATCAGGAGACAGCTTTTACTTCTAAACACAGAATCAAATATAAAATTCCTATCAACTCATACTTCCACAGTTACATATCCCAATAAATAATAGGAAAAATAGCAAATTTTCATGTACATATATTTATCAAAATAATATTTGTAATAGAAAAAAAATGTTGGCTTAATCTTAAGACCAAAAGAAATGGTTTAAAAAAACTGTGCAACATAAGAACAAATACTACATGGCCTTTCATTATTAAATGATTTTTAGTAGTACTAAAAGAAAAGGCAAGACCCAAAATTGTATAAATACGTTACTTCTATTAAGTAAAACAAGGAATGTATGGAAAACATCTATAATAAAGTATATCAAACTCAGAATGGTCAGATTATGGATATTTTTCACTGTTTTCTGCATTCTCCAAGTTTTCAGCAATATGAATATATTAATAATAGAAAACATATTGGGTTGTCAGAAAAGTTATGATGTATTTTTCTATGTTTTTCTATGCAAAAATGTGTCATGACTTTTCTAATGACCCAATATAATTTTTAAAGAATTATTTTATTTAACTTTATTTAGTTAGCTTTTTAATTTGACTAGTGGCAGAGTGAGAGAGAGAGAGAAAGAGAGGGAGAGAGAAGGCGAAGAAGCAACCACCAGGTCCAGGACTTGAACTGCAGCTGACCATGGGGAAGTCCAGCGCCCTTAACCACCACACCACCTGCCAGCTCAACCCAATATAATTTTTAATTATTTCTTTAATTTATTTTTCTATCATTATTTTTTTTTTAATTTAACCAAAGAGAGAGAGAAAGAGAAGGGGAAAGTGAGACAGTAAGTCACCAGGTCCAGGACTCGAACTGTGGCTGTCCATGTAGGAGTCCAGCACCTTAACCACCACGCTACCTGCCAGCCCCCCTACAAAATTTTTAAAAAGCAGGTAACTTCACATTACCCAAATAATGAATGTTAGAGTATGTGCTGACTTAAGTGATACAGATCTCAAAGGAAACAACATATTATTGAAAATACAAAATAAAATCTCTCTTTAGACATATTTTATGTTTTTAAGTTAAATGCATACACATCCTGCCTTGAATATATTAAAATTTGTTCAATAACTTTTATTTATTCTTTTGTTTTTAGGGTACTGTCCTAAGCTCAGAGGAATTGGTAAAATAATAATATTATTAATAATTAAAATTACTAATATTTCAAACTCTTTCCATTTCTATCACAATGTTTTCTGTCCTCACATAGTCTCTTTGATCACAAACCCTGAGTCTCATGTGCAATATGATAAACCGAGTATTGTCTAGGTCCTAGCATTAGGTCATCCTTTCTCTAGCCAGGGATGTCATCATCGTTCTGTATTCACTTTTCCATTCATTTTATCTTGAGAGATTTTTGCTATAGGGGGCGTGCACTTGCCAGAAAGACAGAGAGAAACAAAGTCAGAAAGTATAAATGACCCCCTGAGGCAATGGGCATGCTGCAATCCCTTCTCCTCCATTCTACTCTTGGGATCTGGGGCACAAACGCACATGGGCCTACCATGAGTTTAAGCCACCAGGTCCAGGACTTAAACCACAGTTGACTACATGGGAGTCCAGCCACATAGCCATTACACCAATGGCTGGTCCCTCCATTAATTTTTACTTAGCTTTTGTTTTCCATATATTGCCATCAGATAGTTTTATTCAGAGAGCCATTTCTTATTTTTATTGACAGAGTGAAATATTGTACATATTTATGTGATTTCAGTACAAGAACACAATGTGTAATGATTGAATTGGGGTAATAGCATAACCATTATCTCAATCATTTGTCATTTCTTTGTTGGAAACATTCAAGATCTTCCTATTTAGTTATCCTGAGCTATATGTTATATAATTATTCTACTGCATTTTATAAGACAAGAACTTGTTCCTCTTCTCTGTCTGTAATTTTGTTTTCTTTAGCCAACATCTTTCTATCACTCCTCCTCACTACCCTTTCCAGCCTTTAATAGGTATCACTCAACTATCTACCTCCACCGTGTACATTTTTAACTGTAAAAAGTATAACATTATAAACTATTGAAATGTATGCAGTATAGAATAATATAAATATTGACACTAATTTATTAAAGGAAAGATCATAGTTCTTGGCTTGTATTTTTAATTTTTATGATAAAATGTTTTTTTCTAGCATCTGATAGTGACAAATGAACTCTTTC